CCCTACTCAGGGGTCTAACCACAGTCTCACAAAACGTTAAGAGGTCGCTCAAGTCGGGCACACCTGGCCTTGAATCCGGGCTTTCACAGAACCCAGCCTGGGTTTTCTCTTCTGGAATTATATTACCCAACTCATAAGGCTACTGTGAGGATTAAGTAGAAATACACACACACCCACATGCATGTCTCATTATTATTATTTGTGTGAATAGTCTGGACTATTTCTTTCTAGTCCCTTCCTTTTGCATATACTAGTATTTATTGTTGCACCACCCCCCCGCCAAGGCATTCTGCATGTCCCTGTCAGAGGGACGCCTATGTCCAGAGGAATCTGAGGTGGAGATGGAACAGGTGGGAGGGGTGGGTGGTAAGGGCCCAGATTTGCAAGGTGGGCGTATGTATCTCCCTCGGAAAGCTTAGGCAAAGCCCAGAGCCCAGAGAGCCCGACAGCCTGCCGGTGGCTTCTTCATCTGGTGAGTCGCTATAGCCATGGTTCTTCAGATCGTCTGGGATGGTTCCACACGGTCTGCAACCTTCTCGCAGCCCAGATGATATTTGCACAGCAAACAGCAAAACATGAGTGCCAGACGGTGGCAGCAAGGCCCTGTGTCTAACAGCGTCCTATAGGAAGTGCTTCTCCATCCAGACTTCTGTTCTCGGCCGGAAATCGGTTTTCTTCTTTTGATTCCCCTCCAGACGTGATTCCTTCTGTGACAAGCAGGAAGGGAGTCGTCCCCTCCTCCCCTCCATCGCCAGGAAACCAGTACAGATGGCGGAGCGCACAGGCTTTGGAATGAGCAGATCAAGCAGCAAATCCCTGTTTCGCCAGTGAGTGGTTCTCAGGGTGGAAGTTTTGATGTCTCCAAGGCCATCTCTTCTCGTTTTTTAGATGGGAATGATGAGAGCTATCTCATAGCATTACTGATAGCTAAGAGAGTGAAGCAATGCATGAAGTGTACCTACCAGAATGTCTGGCACGTAGTAATATTCCAATATTATTAATATTTTCATTATTGGAGCATTCAGAGGGAAAACACTGTACCAGGAAACAGACAAATGGTTGCCTCAACACAGTGTTAAGTGTCAGAAGCGCACACTAGAGATAGCAGGTCTTTTTTAAATTTTTGAGTTGGGGTCTCATTCTGTTGCTCAGGCTGGAGTACAGTGGCATGATCACTGGGCTCAGGCTATGCTTCCACCCCAGCCTCCTGAGTAGCTGAGACTACAGGTATGCACCACTACACCCGGCTTATCTTCAGATTTTTTTGTAGAGACAAAGTCTCGCTATATTGCCAAATTGGTCTCAAACTCCTAGCCTCAAGCAATCCTCCTGTCTTGACCTCCCAACGGGCTAGGATTACAGACATGAGCCACCATATCCAGTACCCCATATTAATTAGGTTTTCTTCTTAAAGTTTTGACATAAAGAATCTTTCAAGAATTTTATTATAAGTAATGTCTGGCATTATATAGACCTAGGATGGGGATGCATTACCTGTCTTGCTATGAGCTTTTGTAAAGCGTTGCTTCCCCGTGACTTGTGCACAGTCTGCTGTTGTCCAGAGGGTCTCAGCTCTGACCTCCAGCCCCCACCTCTCCCTGAGCACCCACCCCAAAGCCCATCAGGCGCCAGATATTTCCATTTCCTGCCATCTCGCCTGAAACAAACTTCAATTCCACTGCCCTATCCCTTCTCCCAAAGAGATGAACTTGCGCAATCCCTGTTCTACCAGAGGTTCTCTATCTTTTCTGCAATTAAAATGCTACAGTAACATCCCATCCTCTTGGCCACCTCACCTTTTATAAGTAAACGGACGCCAGCTGGCCGTCTCATCTCTCCCCAGCCTTCCTTTCTGTTGCCATGGGAAACAGGCTGGGGTAAAATCGTCATCTCATACTTGGTCTACTGTTCCATCTTCCTGAGGGCCCCCTGGAGCCTCCCTCCAAATCGTTGTGGGTACCAAGTTCGTCTTTGGAAACAACACTGCAATGCTGTCACTATTCAGCTCACAAAAGCTTTCACTGGCAGCACAGTCCCAGAAAAGAAGATCCAACTTGACAGGCTTCTGAGACCCTCTAGAACATGGTTGCCCCTACTGACTAAGCCACAGCTACAACCACCCCCCAACACAGACTCTCCGCCCCAGTCCAGGTCTTTCTCCTCCCTGTCCTTCTGGCCTCTGAGCCTCCTTTTCCAGGAGGACCCCAGGTCCTGTGTTCCAGGTACCTCATTCCTACCCGTTCATTAGCTCTACCGTAGCCAATCCCCTCTCCCATCTCAGGGCACCACCTTTACCTTCTCTGAACACTTGCAGGTCTTGTCCACACCCGGTGTCTTGTCACGGCTCACGTGGTTAACCCTGTTTCATGTAAGACACTCACGTCCCTTTTCTTCTGCTGAGCCCAGTCCCCTCCCACCACCACCACAAGGAACGAGGGCTGTGCACACAGTAGTGAACCACAAAATGCCCCATGAGTCAGAATCAATCACAAAAAAATGAAGAAAGAGGAATTCAAGGAAGCAAAATAGGAAAAGGAGAAGAAGATACTTCTATTTTTTTTCTCTTGGGCTCCCGGGTGTGCTGTTTATCCCTGCTAGTTCTCAGATTTATAGACTATTTGAACAGAAAAGATCTTAACAATTACTGGATTCAATGATATCATGCTGACTGTGAAGACCTATTAAAAGCTAGAAATAGGCTGGGCTCGATGGCTTAGTCTGTCATCCCAGCACTTTGGGAGACTGAGGTGAGTGGACTGCCTGAGTACGCGGGTTCGAGACCAGCCCAGGCAACCAAATAGCCCAGCATGGTAGTGTACATCTGTAGTTCTGGCTGCTTGGAAGGCTGAGGCAGAAGGATCACCTGAGCCCAGCAGGTCGAGGCTGCGGTGACCGTGAGTGTGCCACTGCACTCCATCCTGGGTGACGAAGTGAGACTCCAACTCAAAAAAAAAAAAAAAATGCTAGAAATAGGCCAGGAGCCATCGTTCTCGCTTGTAATTGCAGCAGTTTGGGAGGTCAAGGCAGGAGGATCATTTAAGGCCAGAAGCTCAAGACTGATCTGGGCAACAGCCCATCTGTACTCCCCATGTCTAGAAAAAATTCTTAAAAATTAGCCGGCATGGTGGCATGTGCCTATAGTCCCAGCTACTCGGGAGGCTAAGGCAAGAGTTTGAGCTGCAATGAGCTGTGATTGTGCCACTGCACTCCAGCCTGGGCAACAAAGCAAGATTCTCTTAAACAAACTTTTAAAAATTTTTTCAAAAACTCCCAAAACTAGAAATAGCATACCTGACCCAGAAAAGACAACCAAAAAACAGTAAGCATCATTTACCAGCTGTGTGACCTTTAGGAAGGCATTTGACCTCACTGTTCTTGTTTCCCCTATTTTTGAAGTCTGAACAATGAAATACTTACTTGAAAAGCTAAATGACATGGCATATGTAAAGTACTTGGATAGCACTTTGTAGTTGTTAGGGAAAAAATCCCTGCCTGTCTTGCGTCACAGGGTTGTTCTTTGAAAAACATGACATCAATAAGGGTACCCAAGTTGGGCATGGTAGCTCACACCTGTAATCCTAGCACTTTGGGAGGCAGAGGCAAAAGAACTGCCTGTATCCAGGGGTTCAAGATCAGCCTGGGAAACATGGCGAGACCTCGTCTCTACAATCAATCAGTAAAATATATTTTAAATAAATATATACATAAATAAGGGTACCTGACCTCAAACCAAAGCCAAGTGGGGACCAAAGGGAGGCCCAAACTTTACCTGTATGATGACCACTTATCTACCTAATCCTGAATTGTACCCCACATCTTTAAAATAAAAATTAAAAAAGAAAAGACAAAGAAAAAGATGTAGGCTGGACATGTGGCTTATGCCTATAATCCCAGCACTTTAGGAGGCCAAGGTGAGAGGATTGCCCGAACCCATGGGTTCAAGACCAGCCTGGGCAACTCGGCGAGACCTCATCTCTACAATAAATCAAAAAATTAGCCGGGCATGGTGGTGCATGCCTGTAGTTCCATCTACTTGGAAGGCTGAGGCGGAAGGATCACCTACGCCTGGCAAGTCAGGGCTGTGGTGGCTGTGAAGGTGCTGCTGCACTTCAGCCTGGACGACAGAGTGAGACTCCAGCTCAAAACAAACAAACAAAAAAGACATAAAGCAAATTTTCAAAAGACTGGTGACAAACTATTATTGGGTTGTGACATCGATTTAATGGCATGTTGTCATGGCTTGAATGCTTGTGCCCCCTAAAATTCACATCTTGAGACCTAATCACCAAGGTGAGGGGTTTAGAAGGTGGGGTCTTTGACATGTGATTAGGTCACGAGGGCTCCACCCTAGAGAATGAAATTAATGTCCTTCCCTTATGTGAGGAATGGAACCTCACCACACTGCATCTGTTGGCGCCTTAATCTTGAATTTCCCAGCCTCCAGAATTGTGAATAATAACTTTCTGCTGTGTATAGATTGCCCAGTCCAAGGTATTTTTGTTACAGCAACCCAAACAGACTGAGACAGATGTTATAAGCATATCTACCTCTGTACTGATTTCTGTTTCTATTTTGGATCATGATATACAATGTATTTTTAACTTTGGGTCACAAACAAGTTTGGAAGCCATCAAATGAAAGCCCTCCACAAATAAAAATGAAATGGCACACTGAAACCACACATGGAATGCTAGGTGCGACTTTACAAACAACTCCATCTTCCATCTTCTCTGGGCCTTGGTTTTTCACCGACAGGAACATGTGTCTTGCTAATGTTGTCTTCGTTTTTTTCTTGTATCTGACCTGTAACATTGCCCATTGCTGTCACACTCATTAAAATAGAAAGAACCCTTTGCAAGAAGCGTCAATGCCCAGCGTCGTGGTCAGGTCGGCTGTGTGTCCTTCTCCATCTGATGGAATGCTCGGAAAGTTCAAGGGAAGAGGGGCGTTTCCGATTTTGAAAGCTCTTTCAGCTGGTAACTGTGTCTTGCATTTTGCAGCGATTCTGTCACCCACATCGTAGCGGAGAACAACTCGGGGTCAGATGTTCTGGAGTGGCTCCAGATACAGAAAATAAAAGCCAGCTCACAGCTAGAGCTCCTTGATGTCTCCTGGCTGATAGAATGCATGAGAGCAGGGAAGCCGGTGGAGATGACGGGAGAACACCAGTTGGTTGTGAGTGTCATCGTTGGGATTTTCCCTGTCTTTGGCCTGATGGTTGAGAACACAGGCTTAGAATCCACAGACTTGGGTTCAACACCAGATACTCTGCCTATTTCCTGTGTGACCTTGGACAAGGCACTTAGCTTTGAACCTCAGTTTCCTCCTCTATAATATAATAATAATAGTCCACCTCATAAGATGGTCATGAAGATCAGAATAACATACATGTAAAGGGTTTAACCAGAGGTAGCTGTTTTTATGACCATGGTTTTGTTTTTGGTTTTTTTTGTTTTTGGTTTTGAGTTGGGGTCTCACTCTGTTGCCAAGGCAGGAGTGCAGTGGCACCATCATGGCTCACCACAGCCTCGACCTCCTGGGCTCAAGCAAACCTCCCACTAGAGTGGTGGGATCACAGGCGTGAGCCACCACACCCAGCCTATTTTTATGAACATGTTTATATACAAATATTTCAAAATATTTAAGTCTTAATGTTATGCCAGCCAGGAAAGCAGAGGGTTCCTTTTTTGTTTTTCTTACTCTGATTATTCAGAAAGAAAAAAATAATAAAGTTAAACTCTCAATTCCAAAGCCACCCCAGCGTCAACCCGCCGGGCTCCAGCGATCCTTCCGCTTCAGCCTTCCAAGGAGCCGGAACTACAGACATGCGCTACTATGCCTGGCTAATCTTTTATTTACTGTAGAGACAAGGTCTTGGCAAGTTGCCCAGGCTGGTCTCGAACCCGCGGGCTCAGGCAATCCACTCGTCTTGGACTCCCAAAGTGTTGGAATGACAGGCTGAGCCACCAAACCAGACCAACAATAATACTTAATGGTGGTTCTTTTATATGTTATTTTCTGATTTCAAAAACAATACATGTTAATTATAGCAAATGCATATATTAGAGACGTAATAACAAAATTTGAGTCTCCTATAATTTTATCCTCTTAGAGACAACGGCTTCTAATTTTTTGTCATACATATCTATTATTATTACTAATTGTTATTAAGAATAAATGCTATGTCTTTGTTTAGGTGAGCAGAGACTGCTCAGCTTGTCCCAGCTCAGGCCCCCAGAAGGCACCACCACTTGCTGTACAAAAGATCTCCCAGTACGCGTGTCAGAGAAGAACCACTTTAAACAACCATAACCAGATTTTCACGGTACGGGGACTTCACATCACCTGGGGCAAGTGAAAGACTTGCAGTGTCTTTCCATGGACCTGCAAATTAAATGATGAATTTTTTCTGAAAGTCTGCAAAGTTTTCCTCCCACTTACCCATCATCCTAGCCTGATCTCTGGTTCTTCTTTCTGTTAAGAAAAGGTCTCTTTCGTTCCTGGAAAAGGACAAATGCATTTGGAGTATATTCTTTAGAGACAGTAGATAACTATTTACAGAGAGTTGTCATTGGTGGGCACAATGCTTGTCAAAGGCAAATATTCTGAAAAGCCAAATACTGTAATTCATCCAAAACACAGTTAAGCATAAACTACGTAGAAACTGCGATGAGGCATCAACAACCTTTGCTGGGAAACCAAAAGACTGAGTAGGTCTGGATCTGAGCCTCTCTGATATTAACCAGCTTGGGCAAGTGAGTTTCTCTCTCTCTGAGCCTCAGTTCCTCCATCTGTTCCATAAGAAATTCCATAGATCATATCTAAAGCACCTCCCAGCCCTGAAGTTTGGTAACTGTGCTTCAAACGGCCCTAAAAGCTTACACTGCTTGTCCCCTGGCCTAGAACCAGTGGTTGACTGGATAAGCATGCCGTAGCATAGCAAAAACAAAGCTTTTCATGTTTACACTTCCAACCCTGGGTTGTAAGAAAGACGAGGACACTATGACCACTGGACCTGCTGAGTGTGGTGCCACACCACCCAGGCTGCTCCCTCCTCTGCTGGAAATCTAAGTGTGCCCAACCTTACATGACTCTGGCCTTGGGTCTGTGTGACCTTTGATTACGCATAGTCATTCAACAAGCCTGTGTTAAGCGCTGACTGTGTTTTATGTACATGCTAAGAAACAGGCATGCCTAGTGCTCAAGGCAGAACCTTGGCCACAGGTACATGGGGAAGACAGCAAGGAGGAGGGTTCATATCTAGTCATGACGAACAGGATGTGGTGGACACCAGATAACTTTTTGGCTAAACCATTCCTGACATCTAACAGCCGTGCACTCCAAGTTTCCTTATCACATGCTCTGGTGCCTGTCTTTTCTGTTCACTTCCACTTGACACCACAAGGGAGGGGTGCCAGGGAACTGGAAAACCCAATCCTGACCTTCAAGGAACTGACCAGGCAGCATTCCAATATTTTTTTTAAATAAAGATGTGGGGTGCAATTCAGGGTTAGGTATATAAACATTGATCATGCAGGTACCCTTGTTGATGAGGTATGCCCCTCCCTCCCCTAGCAGTTTCCCTCAACTGCCAATCCCACCCACTCCCCTGACAGTTTCCCATTACTGCCAAACGCTTTCTTATAGTATTATAATTGCTCAAGGTCCGCTTTGGAGTCGATCATACTCAGTGATCTATCACAGAAGCATTCCAATATTTAAAGGCGACAAGAGGCCCTGGCAAGTGACTGCTGGCTCAGGGACTTGGAAACAGACCTTTTGCTTATTATCTGGTTTTATGTTTCAGGATGCCTTTGACATACTGGCCGAAAATGATGAGTTTAGAGAAAATGAAGGCCCCTGTCTGACGTTTATGAGAGCAGCTTCTGTACTGAAATCTCTGCCATTCACAATCATCAGTATGAAGGACATAGAAGGAATCCCCTGCCTGGGAGACAGGGTGAAGTCTATCATAGAGGTAAGGGCGAAATGGATCTACTCCCCAGTAGGAAGGGAGAGGGAGGGAGGGAAACAGAGAGAGGAAAATTTGTCATAAGCACCACATCTGTATAATTGACAGGAAACCGTGTAACTCAAGGAAAAGAATCCTAACTCTACTTAGACGGGGGTGGCTCTGAGCTAAACATCGTAAGGGCTCAAACATAGATTGGCTTTTCAGTGTGTTCAAAATTAAACTTGTTCAATTAAAATGTCTTCTTATATCAGCAAGTTCATATCCACTGAAGAGGAAATTATCACAAATATTCAGGCATTCATTTTTCAGTAAATATTTTGGTTTGAGATTCTGTAAATCTGGACCCTAGTCATTCTGTATCTTTATTACTGAAACTTGTAAAGGGTCTTTGGCTATATGGTGAGCTAGGATTTTCAAGATTACAGGGGGAAATGTCTTGTTTTCTACACATCAGGTAGGAAACATTTGCACGCAACAGGTGTGCATTCTATGAGAGATCCAGTTTCTAGATTCGGGAATTTGAGAGTCTTGAACAGTGATTATTCAACATCACTAATTTAAAATATTTTTCAACTGTCTATGTAGGAAATTATTGAAGATGGGGAAAGTTCTGCAGTTAAAGCTGTTTTAAACGATGAACGATACAAGTCCTTCAAGGTTAGTGATTTTACATATATTTATTGAAAATGGTTTTTTGGTTAATCCAGTTATTTATTCAGTTAGTGTATTACCTCAGGGTCCAGTAACAAAATCCCTATCCCGGGTGGCTTAAACAATAGAAATTTATTTTCTCACAGTTCTGGAGGCAGAAAGTTCTAGATCAAGATGCCAATAAGATCACTTTCTGGTGAGGGCTCTCTATCTGGCCTGCAGATGGCTGCCTTCTTACTATGTCTCACGAACAGAATCCCTTTAGTGTCTCTTCTTATAAAGACACTAATCCCAACATGAGAGCCCCACCCTCATGGCCTCTTGCAAGTCTAATTACCTCTCAAAGGTTCCATCTCCAAATACTATCACACTGGGGATTAGGGCTTCAACATGTGAGTTTTGAGGGGAGACACAATTCGGTCCATAACAGTGGTCCAGCAAGAAAATGTTTAAATAAATATGTGTTCCCTGGCTTCCTGCCATGCTGTGATGATAGACAAATCACCTTGTCTTCCAAGAGTCTGTCACTCATGGATATGAATATCGTGAGGACACTGGAGCCATGGGGAGAGGACAGACTCACTCTTAAAGAGCAAACTCCTGTGTCTGGAAGCTCCTTGCCGCGTGCTCATTTACTTGGTAGCACAATTTGTTACCTCTCACCATCCCCTACCTTAGAGTTGCAGGTAGAAGGGACTTTCACTAGTCCCTTCTGTGCAGAAGTGATGCCTTAAAAGACCTGGAGCCCGGGCTTGGAGTGCAAATGGACCAGCATTTAAGTCTGGACTTTGTCACCTACCAGCTGTGTGATGTGGAGAAACTATATAACCTCCACAAACATCCCTCTTCAAAATATGAGTATAAGTGTGTGTAAGAGACTCTTGGCAAAGAGGAGAGCCTGATAGGAATAACGTATCAGGTGTGGACAGCACAGAGCATCCATCCATTAGACTATACCTAAACCTTATGCAGGGGCTTGCACACAGACCTTTCACTTATCTGGTTTTATCCTTTGGGATACTGGCCAAAAATGATGAGTTTAGAAAAAAGGAAGGGGTGGAATCTGCCCCCTTACTTCTATTTCTTTTCATAATATCGCATATCACGAAAGAACTCACCTAAAAAAATATGCCTCTGAAAAATTACTGTCACTCACCTGCTGGTTCTATTCAGAAGAAACCTGGTCAGAGATTTGTTTATCCTTTTTTTTCACTGCCCGAGACCTCGACAAGGTCATGACTTTAGAGACTAATGGCGCGCCTTTCCCTCCATATCAGCTCTTCACTTCTGTGTTTGGAGTGGGGTTGAAGACCTCTGAGAAATGGTTCAGGATGGGCTTCAGAACTCTGAGTAACATAAGGTCGGACAAAAGCCTGACATTTACACGAATGCAGCGAGCAGGTAAGTTGCCTCCCCTCAGGGTCACAGTTTCTGTGAATTGGTCATATTGTACGGAGCCAATGCAGTTATTCTGTGATGCCAATCAAGAGAGACATTTTTTTGTGTCAGTAGGTGCTTGGATCCAAATCCTAGTGCCAGCACTCTCCATTTGTGTGATCTCCAGCAAATTAATTAACATCTTTGAACCTTAGTTACCTCGTTTATAGAAGAGAGATAACGTTGATACTGAGTTAGGGTATAAATCAGAGAAGGCAGACAGAACTCCCTATACAGTGTCTGGCACAGAGCACAGAGCCATGGTCGCTCCTTGATTCAGACATCAGACCAACTTGTGCTGCTGTCCTGGTTCCCATGGACTTTTCTAGACATGGGTCTTGACTGTCTCCCTCGGCAAGAGTCATGGTGAGGAGTCAAGGACAGAAGGACAAGTCGACAGGGAGAACCAGAGAGTAAACCAGAGTTGACGCCTGGCACGGATGTGAATGCACTTTTTAACATCAGGAAAATGGGAGGGAAATGGTGGAAACCTAGATACAGGGCTGATCTACCCAACGGACTCTTTAGACTGAGAAGGGAAGACAGTGGTGAGACACAAGGGTTTTCTCACCCATCTGGAAGCCTGGCAGGGCCTCCCAGAGGCTGAAGGTGGCTTGGTCACTTCTATTTACAGAGAGTCACAGTAAACATTCTCAAAATGAAGAAATGCCAATATAGGTTAAAAAATGTGTGTGCTTTAAACGTTTTCTTTTAACATGAATGGAAATATAATACAGTTGTGATTTGAAAGGGCATCACAGCCACAGTTCCCAGCACTATGGCTTCCAGAGTGGCAAAGACTGATGAAGTCATCCAAATTTTTAATGATGTAAGTAAGGGAATCTTCCACCAGAGGAAACCAGGAAAAAAAAAAGTAAACAACTATCTTCTGTTTAAGTAATGACAAAAGCAAAAGAAAAAATTATCACACAGTAGCAACGGTAGAGAAAGCTAATCTATAGACCTCATGCATCTTTTGTAAATTTGCCAATCTCTGAAAAATTGCTGATAAGTTTTATATGATGCCACATATGAAACAGAAGAGTTTAAAGGAAAAAAAAGACCCTGTATTTATATTGTGGGTTCCTGAAAGTGCACATTTAATAAACATGATTTGTGACCACATTAAAAAGAAATTTAGGGCTGGGCACAGTGACTCATGCCGGTAATCCCAGCACTTTGGGAGGCAGAAGCGAGTGGATTGCCTGAGTTCAGGGGTTCAAGACCAGCCAGAGCAACATGGCAAGACCTCGTCTCTACAATAAATCCAAAAAAAAAAAAAAATTCAGCCGGGTATGGTGGCACATGCCTGTGGTTCCAGCTATATAGAAAGCTGAGGCGGAAATATTGCCTAAACCCAGCAGGTCGAGGCTGCACTGGTCATGAGCATGCCACTGTGCTCCAGCCTGGGTGACAAAATGAGACTCACAAAAAAAAAGAAAGAAAGAAATTTACATAAATATTCAACATAAGCAACAAGTAGATGGTTGGGAACGATAGTCAGTTAGATGAACCCAGTTCCAAGAAGGAAATGATCAAATGAGTTCCCAGGGAGGAAATGACCCCTTTGGAGTGTCAGAGCTCCCCATTATTGGGCTCAAGCATAGTTGGAATGGCTCCCTGTTGGGACCACTCATCTTCCCGCCTTGGAGATAAGCAGCCCTCTTCCTTTGCTCCTCCCCTCCACGCCCTCCTCCACGCTGCTCTGTGGGGACAACCAAAACATTAGCTCTTCACCGGGAGGACTCTGAACTTTCATCCATTCATGGCAGTCAGGCAAAGAAGTGACAAGCCAAAACGCCTAAGACATTTTCTACCCTGCTTCAGATGCAAATCTATCTTCTTCCTATTCTTGACTTTCATTTTTTAATTGGTCCATTGCCTTCCATTCCTAAATCTTCCCATTCCAAATCTTTAGTTAAAACAGAAGGGCACAGCTTATTGATGAAGAAAGCTGGTTCTTCAGCAGGAGGTCAGATGTGGGCAGTTTGGACTCCAGAGGGACATGAAATACTGTCTCCTTCTTAGAAAATTGTCAGCCTCTGGGTTGGAAACCCAAGAGCCCCTGTTGCCATACAAAATCCGAATGAACTACGTGGATGACTCTGTCACCATGGAAACGGTTTGGCATGGGTGCCTGTGGTCACATTAGCTCTGTCTGGGGGTAGAATCCCCTCCAACGGAGGGGCTGGTTGTTTCTCACTCTCCACTGACCTGTCAAATGGCCTCTCAGGATTCCTCTATTACGAAGACCTTGTCAGCCGTGTGACCAGGGCGGAAGCAGAGGCCGTTGGCGTGCTGGTGAAAGAGGCTGTCTGGGCGTCTCTGCCGGATGCCTTCGTCACCATGACAGGAGGGTTCCGGAGGTAAACAACCCCGGGTGGCTCGGCCTCCCTTGCTCTAACACCTGCCGTGGCTCCCTTCCACGCATGAGCTTCTGAAATGGCACCACAGGCCTCTTGTGACTGGTGCCAGCCTCTCTCTGCCCAAATGGCTTGTCATCCTCTGCATGTTTGGAGCTGTTTCTTGCCCTGTTTTCTGCTCAACCAGACCTTTCTCCTTGGACTGCCACTCCCCAAATGTTCACCTGGCTGACGTCTCTTCATTCCTTGAGACTCAATTTCGATGCCACCTCCTCTGCCTGCCTTGACTCCCTCCTCTTCCATGCTGGGTTGGGAACCCCGCTTCGGTGGCCCCTGGACACCTGCCAAGCCCTTGTTGCACAGCGTTGCAGTGGTTTTTCCCTATGTGTACTTTCTCCACTAAACTTTTAGAGCTTAGTACTCAACAAGACCAGTGCATGGCCTGGGGCACAAAGTTGGTGTTCAAGAAATCTTGAGTGACTCAACAGCTCCCTGACTGACTGAATGAGCATGTGGGCTCTTCACAGAGATGTGTGCAGTTGTTGGATACTGAGGCCTCCACTTCAGAAAGGGATTCCTTCCCTTCCACAGCCTTCTCCACCCTGCTCTCTGGTCCTCTCACCTGGTGACTGTTGACTGTTCTGAAAAGCTAGGTGTGGGACAAGGAAGGAAATGAGAGACGGAATCTAAGAAAAACGCCCTTAATCTATGTCATCAGTCTGAGAGTGCCACCTTATATTATGTGACTACAATTCTTGGTTTGCTTGTTATCATGTGTCTCCATCTATGTGTATATAAGTGTGTACATAGAAGAAATCATCTTCAGTTATTTTTTTCACACATACAAAGTCATATACATGCCATATATGATTTTTTCTACGTTGTCCATTTACTTTGCAAGGAATGGAGATGTGTAACCAAGGATATCTTGTTTTTCTGTTTTTTGTTTGTTTTTTTAATCAGAGTCTCACTCCGTCGCCCAGGCTGGAGTGCAGTGGCACACTCACGGCCACCCCAGCGT